TTCCACATAGCATCGTGAGGTAAGTTCATCCCCCTTATTTCTAAGTTTAACACTCGAGTTTTGGGTAGATTAATACCTAAAGATTTGGAGAAATCAAGGGGTTAGAGCTAAACCTAGGGTTTTAATAAAACATAGATTTTACCACGAATTTGGTTATGAAATGGATTAGAAATCATATATTATTGATTCTTAGGTTACAGAGAACAACTTTCTTCAAGAAATTTCGGAATCCGGGCACGTGGGTCCGAGGGCGTTTTTGTCAACTTTTCGATCGGGGATTAGGAATTGTTATAAATTGGATTGAAATGAGTAATTGAACATATATTAATGGATTTGCATAATTATTGGCTAGTTTTGGAGCATTGTGCATTGATTCGAGTCATCGGAAGTGCGTGGAATGCCGGTTATGGATCTTCGGAGCGAGGTGAGTCTCCTTTCTAACCTTGTAAGAGGGAATTGTCCCCATAGGTGAGGTGATTAGTTATGTGCTCCTATTTGTGGGGGCTACGTACGCACGAGGTGATGAGAGTCCGTGCATAGCTACTATTATGTTATTGTCTGGGTAGTCTAGGGCCCAAAAGCATGCTATACTTGGAATATTTGTAATATTATTGAAAATTTGAATTGCTTAAATCACATCGAATTAGTAAATGAATTTCTAAAAAGATTAAACTTCATTTTCTTTAATTGTTAAAAGAGAATTGGCTTTTCCTTGGATAATTGTTCCTTGATGAATTCTTGATTGATTGATTGTTGAGTTTATTTATATTTGACTGCGTCGCATGTATGATTCGCGAGTGGGGTAATAGATGCATCTATGGTTCGTGTCGTGCGACCCTCGGCAGTGCACAATTTAAATATTATTGGATCGGGCTGTACGACCTCGGCATGATTTGCGCATGCTTCTATTGTTTGCCTTGAGATTTATTGATATTGATATTTGCTCTCCCTAACTTGAGATAATTGAAAGCTGATGGATTATGAATCCGGAGACCTTTAATATAAAAAGGAACTTTTACATGTTCGTGACTTATTTGAAATTATTGTCGTTCTTAATAAATCCATGATTATTCGTATTAATAATATATCATTATTGGGCCACTAGTAAGTGTCGAAGTCGACCTCTCGTCTCTACTTCTTCGAGATTAGACGGGATACTCATTGGGCACACGTTGTTTTCGTACTCATACTACACTTCTGTGCATTTTTTTGTTGCACAAGCACATGCATCTTTAGTGGCCTAGTGATCGTAGCAGCATGGTTGATATGGAGACTTAGGTGAGCTGCATTTCCGAGATGACTCGCAGCCAGCAAGTCTCTTTCAGATTACTGTATTTATTTACAGTCCAATATTATATTCCAGACGGTTGTTGTATTACATTATTTCTTAAGAATTGCTCATGCACTTGTGACACCGGGTTTTGAGATGTCTATGGGTTTATTAAGAAATTTTAAAGTTGTTAAATGTTTCATTATTTATTCAGAGGAATGTGCGATGTATTGTTTAAACATATAAAAGAAGTAATTTCAGAATATTTTAAATGAGAATTTAATTAAGTATTTTGGTTGGCTTGCCTGACAGTGGTGTCTGGCGCCATCACGACCCTTAGTGGATTTTGGGTCATGACAATCGCAGAGAAGGAATCTCTGCAACAGCTGAACCTGCAATTCTGCAACTTCTCCATGGCATAAAATGGTCCGATTGACCATCCGAAACTCACCTGAGGCCCCCGGGACCTCAACCAAAGGCACCAACATATCCTAAAACCTCATTCAAACTTATTCCAACCTTCAAAATGCTCAAAACAATATCAAAACACCGAATCGCATCGGATTCCAGCCTAAGAATTCCAAAATCTTCAAAATTACGCTTTTGATAAAAAACCCAACCAAACCACGTCCGAATGACCTGAAATTTTTCACACACGTCCCAAATGACACAACAGAACTACATCAACTCTCAGAATTCCATTCCGACCCCTATATCAAAATCTTGCCTATCAACCGAAAATCGCCAAAATATCAACTTCGTCAATTCAAGCCTAAATCTACTCCGAACCTCCAGAACTCATTCCGATCACACTCCTAAGTCACAAATCACCTCCCGAAGCTAACCGAACCTTCAGAAATCACATCCGAGCCCTCTAATACATAAGTCAACATCCAGTTGACTTTTCCAACTTAAACTCACTCTAAAGAGACTAAGTGTCTCAAACCTTACCAAATCATTTCCGAACTCGATCCGACCAACCCGATACCACATAACATGGATAAACAAAGCATAACAAAGCAGAATTAGGGAAAACGGAGCGGTAACTCATGAGACGACTGGCCGGGTCGTCACATTTAAGCTATATTCGAGCTTCGCACAGTCGTCCCTGTTGGGATACTTAAAAGAATCAAACTCCTGGACAACCTTGTCGAACGAGGTTGAATAACCTTCAAAACTGTGTTCCACGTTCAGCCTGTTCTGGAATGATTCATCAGCAAAAAACTGAAGTCTTAGTCTTTCCTAATCAGCCTTTATTTACTCCCACTTTTGCATAATATTATCCACTGGTACTTTACTATCCCAATCAGACATTAAACTCTCTCACTTCTATATAAGTTCATCCATTGTAAGCTTCCTACTTCCGCTAGCATCAGACATGGTTTTTTTGAAAAAGCTAAAAGGCTACTGATGAATATAAATTTAATAAAATATGATAGAAGTTTATGGATGACTATGAAACTTTGTTAGTGAACTGATTGTTTAATATAGTCAAAGTGTGCACCTACTAAATTTAATATGTATAAATGTAAAGTTAACTTTTCAGGTCTGTTTGATGTTTTAGGTTCAGAGAAATGTAACTTTTTGCACATTCCAAGAAAAGTAGGTGGTAAAATACGACAAGTCATAAATGCAAATAGAAATGTAACTTCAGATTAATAAGTCAATAGCTTTTATATAATAAAAAAATAAATTATATAAAACATAATGTCCAGTATATTAAACTGGTTATATATCATGCAAAAGCATAATGTCCAGTATTGTATACTAGATGTGCACAATCCAGATTCTTGTTACCCTAAATTTGACCAATTTATTTATTGAAATAAAGTTCTAAGGATTGGAGATTATATTTTTTATGGTGTGGTTTTTATGTATAATATTTTAGATTTAATAACTTTGTGGAAATCCTACTTATGAAGCGTTATAAGCCAGTATATTATAATGGAGAAGTGAAAAATAGTGAAAATTTTGTATCTAAACCTATTTTGTGGAATTAAATAATTTAAATTTTTGTTTCCTGTATATTATGCTGGAGATATATAATGTGAAACCATAATCTTCCGTATTTTATATTAGATGTGTAAATCCAGATTTTTTTTCCTTAGATTTAGTTCTTATTTTTGTTGCTACCTATAAAATATGTTGTAAATACTACTTATCAAGCAATATTAAATGCTGGATAGAGTTCTGGTTGCTTTCTATAAATTATGCTGGAAATGCTACTTATGAAGCGTTATAAGCCTATATATTATAATGGAGAAGAGTAAAACAGTGAAAAATAATTTAAAAGTTTATTTCATGTATATTATGCTGGAAATATATCATGCAAAATCATAATGTCCAGTATTCTATACTGGGTGTGCATAATCGAGATTTTTAGTTTCCTATAATATTTCATAATTTCAGTATTTTACATAATCATTGGGTGCAGTCTTTTATGCATTTTTAACCCCAAATTATATTATATGTTGGGAGTTGTGTCACAGTAATAATTACATTTTCACTCATTTTATAGGAGCCTGTATTTTATGAATAGTAATTTGGATTTCATAATTTTACAGCTTTATACTAATCCAGTATACTGGAGTCTATATTGCTTTTCCAAACGACGCGTCATTCACTAAAGCATACCTCGAATTTCTCCTATATGTTCCTACCGGAGATATATCACCTGAAAGCATAATCTCCTGTATTTTGTACTGGAAGTGTACAATCCTGACTTAATAAATTAGATTTTGTAATTTATTATCTTTATTATATGATAGACATAGCTTTGTATTATAACGTAATATCTATTTTGATGACGTCACATACAAGTGACTGTAATATAGTTGCCTATAATATTTCATAATTTTAGTACTTTACATAACCATTGGGTGCAGTCTTTTATGCATTCTTAACCACAAATTATATTATATGTTGGGAGTTGTGTCACAGTAATAATTACATTTTCACTCATTTCATAGGAATCTATATTTTATGGATAGTAATTTGGATTTCATAATTTTATAGCTTTATACTAATCTAGTAAACTGGAGTCTATATTGCTTTTCCAAACGACGCGTCACTCACTAAAGTGTACCTCGAATTTCTCCTGTATATTCTACTGGAGATATGTCACATGAAAGCATAATCTCCTGTATTTTATACTGGAAGTGTACAATCCTGATATAACAAATTAGATTTAGTAATTTATTTTCTTTATTATATGATACACATAGCTTTGTATTATGCCGTAATATCTATTTTGATGACGTCACATGCAAGTGACTGTAATATAGTTGCTTATAATATTTCATAATTTCAGTATTTTACATAACCATTGAGTGCAGTCTTTTATGCATTTTTAACCATAAATTATATTATACATTGGGAGTTGTGTCACAATAATAATTACATTCTCACTCATTTTATAGGAGTCTATATTTTATGGATAGTAATTTGGATTTCATAATTTTACAACTTTATACTAATCAAGTATACTGGAGTTAATATTGCTTTTCCAAACGACGCGCCATATATTACCTCAAATTTCAAAATACACAATCGTTAGGGTTTAATCGGTTGTTCTCAAGCTTTAATTTTTGAAATGTCAAGCTTAATTTTGAACAATTGATGTTTTATGGGTAGAAAGCACTCTCTCAAGCGTAAAAAACCTATTTACCCAATCTCAGTGTCACCAGATTTTTTTGATTTTGTTATGAATAACGAAAATTATTCTCTTACAATGGCAGAATCTTATATGAAATATGCTCCAAGTGCGCATGCAGTTGGAGAATCATCATCAGCAAGTGGAACAAAAGTTGTTAGTTTAGGACGGACTCGTTTACAAAGGGCTAAGGCACGAAATACCTCTAGATCATCTTCAAATACCTCTGGGTCAGCTAGTATTAGAATAACACGTTCTCAAAGTGCTAAGGAATACGAAATTAGTGGTTCTAAAAGTGTCAAGGAACCAGAAATTGATGTTTCTCAAAATAATATAAAGACTACAAAAAAAAGGAAGGTTTCTGAATCAACTATTCATAAGAGAAGACATTCCGAATCATTTTTGAAGGTAAATTATATTATACCTTATTTATTGATAGATACTTTGTATAATGTATACCCATTTAATATACTTATATATGTGTCTGTATTGTATTGCAGCTTAGTGCAAGTGATAGACCAATACTTGGCAGTAACTTCAATTCTAAGATTGTTAGCAATTTGAAAACAAAATTATCAACAATGCAACTTGAACTTTTTAAGTCAACTTGTTTTGGCTATTTGTTGAATTTGTCTAGTATAAAACTGCAAACACAGTTAATATATTATTTGTTAACTAAGGAGGTTGAAAAAGGGAATGTAAATGAAATGGCGTTTCTTGTCAATGTGGTTAAGCTACGTTTTGGCTTGGCTGAGTTTGCTTGTGTAAGTGGATTAAAATGTACTGGTGATGTACAATTTTATAGTGAAGCTACGCAAAAGAATAATCGTTTAATTGCAAAGTACTTTATGGATTACCCTTCTATTTCTAAAGAACACCTTGTGGATTGTTTTCTTACAAAAACATTTGAGTCTGATGAAGATGCTATTAAGATAGCAGTGCTATTTGTTATAAATTCATTCCTCTTTTCTATTAAGAACACCAAACTGATTGACATGAAGTACTTGGACTTGGTTGACAAGAGTGATTACAATAGTTATCCATGGGGAATAGATGTATATGAGGAAACAGTAAGAACAATGTCAGGTATTTTGGATAAGTAGCGATAGTATTATTGGATTTCAGGATTCCCTTATGCTATTCAGATATGGTTCTATGAATGTTTTGAATATTTGCATAATTTTGTCGCTCATCGGTGTCAAAATACATCTCCACCAATTCTTCGATGGAGTGTTACACGACAGCTAAAATTTGAAGAGTTAAATGACAAGCTATATGGCTTATCTTCTGAGAAGGTAAATTAATTTCTTTTTTGTTTTCTCATGTATTAAGAGTTACTTTTGCTATATATAATTTTGTTACTAAAATTTAGTAAAATATATGTTTATGTAGTTGAATTTAAGGAATATGTCTCTTGAGAATGAGATTGCGGATAATGTTGATCAGAAACATGTTAGTTCAGATGATGATTTTGTTGATCATCCACTTGAGACTTTAAAAACACAATACAAAATGATGACTAATGTGAATGCGAAAAGGCAGCGGAAAGCTTCTAATGTTTTGGAGAAAAAGGGGAAAGATGTTAATAATTTGAAGAATCAGGGGAAAGCTACTAATGAAATATCAAAAATGAAAAGTATCGATGCTAATGATTTGGAGAAAAAGATGATAGACAATGTCTCTAACAGTGCTACAACTAGAAAATTAAAAAAATATTCTAATCTAACGGTAGCAAATAATGACCTTGTTTATTCTACATCTGGAAAATAAAAAATAAAAAATGAAGCTGGAAATGATTTGGAGCAAAAGCTGGTGGAGAATATTCATAACCAACATCGAAGTATAGGTAAAGCCTCTGTTGACCCGCCAACTAAAGATAGTGAGTAGTATATTCAGTTTAAGATTTTACAAGATGGCCAAGTTGAATTGAAGAAAGAAGTATCATCATTGAGGAAGGAATACAAGGAAGAACTAGTGGTTTTAAAAAATAATCTTGCTGAGAAATTTGTTGAGGTGTTCAATGCAATTAATTCAATGAAGAAGAGCATGTTAGAGGTATACTAGTACTTATTGTTTGTTTTGTTTTATTTTGGGTTGTTTTATATCTAATATCATTTTATTTGAACTTTTTGCTGCAGCATCACCACAATGGAGATGTGAAAAAAGATGTAGAAGGTGATAGTGATCGGAAGCAGGATGCATTCAATGAAAACAAAGAAGGTATAGTATAAAATATACTGTTTTAATGCTTCAATTTCTTGATGTCCAATTTGTGATTCTAGATGTCATTTTAGTGTTTTAATCGCGCAAGCGAGTCTGTATTATGTTGTTGGATGCATTGGTGTAATTGAATGGGGTCCCGGGGGGCCTCGGGTGTGAATCAAACTTAGTTTTGGACTTGATGGACTGTTGGGGGTTTCAGATATGGTGCAATCATACATGCGAGAAAATGGTCGCATGTGTGAGCACGTAGATGCGGCCAACTGATCATAGAAGCAGAAATGGCAAGTCATGTTTGGGTACGTAGGTGCGGAAGGCTGGGGCCAAGTGGGCACCCGCGAAAGCGTGATATGTTCCGTAAAAGCGAATGTTTGGGGGCTGGCGTGGGATCTGGCCTTGGTTGCCCAATCCCCAAAGTTTTAAACACAGAATATGGAATCAAGTTAATGTTTTCCCCCAAGTCGCACAAAGCTTTGGCACTGCAGAAAATTCACATTATATCAAAAAATATGATGTCAATAATGAACATGGAAAATTAGAATATTTTAATTTAGCAACGATAAAGGAAGGAATTTTTGGTATTGAAACGTAAAGCTGTATATTCAAAAAAAATTATTTATATTTTTCCTGATATATTAATGTATTTTTTATATAGCATCTGGTTTTGTTGATGTTGGAATTCCATATGAAGATAAATGGTTTGAAATGTGTGATTTAGAGGCTCATAAATTAACAGGTGAGCTTTGTAAACTAACAAGAAATGAAGATATTCCGTCTGGTAAGATGACTAAAGAGTCATTCAATGAAGATGTTCCAGCTGTAGAGGTTTATAAAAAATCATCAACTAAGATGATTCCAGATCATGAATTTGAGATGACTGACACTCAAATTGATTGTCAGATTCATAAATTAACTTCCAAATATGTTAATGAGTCCATAGGTGTTGCTCCTGTAATGACAACTACTCCAAAATGCTCTACACCTGAAGAAGATGTAGAGCAACAAGAATTAAAAAACCTCTTGTACCTCGTGTTATTATTAAAAGGGGATCACCCTTTTAAAATATCAATTACTGAAGAAATTCTTGTATCAATTAGAGATGACGTTAGTAAGTTTGTTCAAACAAAGTTAATCCAAACTCGCAGGTAACTTTACATATATCTAACATATGTTTTGATTGAAGTTTCTTTGTAATGATAGTTTGGACTATTCTATTTATATCTTTATTAAATCTTTTTAGGAAGAAGGGGTATGAAAAGAAGGATGATATACTAGAGGAAGAGTTTGATCTTGGAATTGAATTTATAGCTAAGAAGACATGATTTTTTGAACTTCATTATTCTGGTATAGGTATCAATGAAACGGTATGTCAACATACATTACTTTTTTTGTTTTGTTTTAGTATAAATATGTGTCTGTGTATTCGATTGATGTCTTGTGATGACCCGGCCGATTGTCTTAAAAATTTATGTCCCGATCTCCTATTAACTGCTTTTTCCGTGTTTATTTCTGCTATTTTGATTTGCCAGGATGTTCGTCTTTGAGTTTCGAGAGTTTTGGGACACTTAGTCCCTAAATAAGAGCTTAAGTGTTAAAAAGTTGGTCGTAGTTCGAAAGTATGAAGACGACCTCGGAATAGAAATTTGATGGTTCCGTTAGCTCTGTTGGGTGATTTTGGGCTTAGAGGCGTGTTCGGATTGTGTTTTTGAGGTCTATAGCTAATTTAGGCTTGAAATGTCAATAGTTGAATTTTTGAAGTTTCTGGTTCGATTGTGAGATTTTGATCTGAGGGTCGGAATGGAATTCCAGAAGTTAGAGTAGCTCTGTAGTATTTAATCTGACGCGTGTGCAAAATTTTAGGTCATTCGGATGAGGTTTGATAGACTTTTTGATCGAAAACGTATTTTTGGAATTCTTAGGCTTGAATCCGATGAAAAATAGGTGTTGTGATGTTGTTTTGAGCGTTCTGAAGGTTAGAACAAGTTTGAATAATGTTGTAGGATCGGTTGGAAACCTTGGTTGAAGTCCCGAGGGCCTCGGGTGTGATTCGGATTCTCAGCGGGTCATTTTTGGACTTAGAGGATTGTAGAAAATGCAGCAGGTCTCCAGTATTGGTTTCTCTCTTCGCGTTCGCGAGTGGGGTCTCGCGTTCGCGAAGAGGAGCTGGGGCTGTTGGAAGCTTAATGTTTCGCGTTCGCGAAGAGGTTCCCGCGTTCGCGAAGCTGAGAGGTCTTATGCCTACGCGTTCGCGAAGCTGAGAGGTCTTATGCCTACGCGTTCGTGAATAGGGTCCCGTGTTCGCGTAGGAGGGGGAAGTTTGCTACCGCGTTTGCGAGAGGGGGCATCGTGTTCGCGATGAAGGAAATCTGGTCCAAGCAAAGTTGTGCTTCGCGAATGCGAGGGTCCTTCCGCGTTCACGAAGAAGGATTTACCTGGGCAAATATAAAATTTCAAAGTCGAGGGTTTAGCCATTTTTGTGAAAACTAAAGCTTGGGAGCTCGGATTTGAGTGAGGTTTTGAGGGATTTTCAGAGATATTGATTGGGTAGTGATTATTAACTTCTTTTTTCTTGTAACCCATTAATCAAAACATGAATTCATCATTTAATTTCGGATTGGAGATGAAAATTGGGAAAAAGTTGGAAGACAGTTCTTAGACCTAGAATTCGACTTTTGATTTTGAATTTGACCTTAGATTTGGATAATTTTGGTATGCATGAACCCGGGAGAGTGTGGGGATTCTGAAAATATAAATTTTACCCGATTCCGAGACGTGGGCCCAAGGGGCATTTTTGTCATTTTACCTAATTTCGCATATTAGCTTAGAATTTCTTTGTAGAATCAGTTACTTGAAGTGTTATTTACATTATGCAATTGAATGGAATATATTTGGGTCATTTGGAGTCAAGTACTCGTGGCAAGGGTGTGGTTTCGGGTTGATTTTGAGCCGGTTCGAGGTAAGTGGCTTGTCTAACCTTGTGTGAGGGATCTTCCCCTTAGGATTCGGTATATTTGATATTTGAAATGCCTTGTACGTGAGGTGATGAGTGTGTACTTGAGCTAATTGTTGAAAATCCAATTTTCTTTAAGTAATTTCAATTGTGTTCCTTTTCCTATTTTATTTTATTTGCAATTTAAACCTGCTGTTAGCTTAGAAAAAGCATGTCTAATTGACTTAACTGTTTATTTGCTTAAACTACCTTAATTGAATTATGTAGAGCATGTTAGATTAGAATTACCTGTTTATTTGATACGTAATCGAGCTTAATTGAGTATTCTTGTGTTATTGATGTGTGTTTTACTTTGGGACTACGGGATGGCATCCCGGGAGATCGCCTGTACGTATTTATGATTTGAACTGAGGTGCGGGATACCGAGAGATCCCTGGCATGTATATTGAGGATACCAAGAGATCCTCGGGATACCAAGAGATCCCTAGCACATATTGAGGATACTGAGAGATCCTCAGGATACCAAGAGATCCCTAGCATATGTTGAGGATACCGAGATCCTCGGGATACCAAGAGATCCCTGGCATATATTGAGGGTACTAAGAGATCCTCAGGATACCAAGAGATCCTCGGGATACCAAGAGATCCCTGGCATATATTGAGGGTACTAAGAGATCCTCAGGATATTGAGAGATCCCCGATTATTTCCCTGTGATTGTTTTTGCCTCTATTTTAGTTATTGAATTCCTTGTTTTTCCTGTATTAAATTCTTATCGTTAGTTTTCAATTGTACTGCTTATCTTATACTGTCATGTCTTATATTCTTTATTTTATCTCAGTAGGTCCATGACCTTCCTCGTCACTACCTGACTGAGGTTAGGCTTGGCACTTACTGAGTACCGTTGTGGTGTACTCATGCCCCTTCTATGCATGTTTTTCATGTGCAGATCTAGGTACTGCGACTCAGTCCTATCGCCCTTGAGGCGAGGAGACTGCTCCAGCGACTTTGAGGTATATCTGCCGCATCCGCAGACCGAGGAGTCCCTTTCTATTCTCGCTTTTAAGTATTAGCCCTTCTGTATTTCTATTCTTGTTAGGCATTCTGGAGTTAGAGTACTGTGTAGTGATCCTTAGCTTGTGATTCATGGGTTTCCGGGTCTTGGAAGTATGTATTGGTTTGAGAGTTAAATATTGTGTATGCCGAGCGGCACTTTTAAAGACTATTTTATCACTCTTCATTTTGTTTTTATTCCGCATTTTGGTTATCTTCAACAATTTAGGCTTACCTAGTCGTAGATGATTAGGTGCCGTCATGATGGTTCACGGAGGGCGAACCGGGGTCGTGACATGTTGGTATTAGAGCTCTAGGTTCATAGGAGTCATGGATCACAAGCTGGTTTATTAGAGTCTCACTGATCGGTACAGAGACATCTGTAATTATCTATGAGAGGCTATGTAACTGTGAGGAAAATTTTCACTTCATTTGATTTCCTTGTCGTGTGATATTTTGACATCTCAATTCTAAACTTTTGTCTTCTATTTTCTCACAGATGGTGAGGACACGTGCTACCCGAGATGATCAAGAACTCGTGCCCCCTACTACAGCCGTCAAAGGCCGGGGCCGGAGTAGAGACCGAGGACGCGCATGTGGTGCAGCTAAAGCACCTGCGCGAGCTGCCGCCGAGGTACCACCAGTAGTTCCAGCCGGAGTCCAGGCACCTAACACGCCTACTGCTACTACTACTCCAGCTCTTCAGGAGACTCTGGCACAGTTCATGAGCATGTACACCACTCTGGCTTAGGTAGGGTTACTTCCCCTTGATGCAGCTACATCTCAGGTCGAGGGAGGAGCACAGACCCTCGCCGCCCGCATTCCTGAGCAGTGAGTGCATGTTGAGCAGGTCCCTGAGATTATTCTTGTACTGCCTGCAGTGCCAGTTCAGCCTGAGGGCAGGGCAGCGACTTCCGAGGAGGAGCAGCTGAGGCTTGAGAGGTTTAAGAGGTACAAGCCTCCTGTATTCACCGGTCTAGCATTGGAGGATGCTCTGAGATTTCTAGATGAGTGTTACCGCATTCTCCTTACCATAGTATATCAGGATCGAGCGGGGTTTCCTTCACTACCTTCCAGCTTCGAGGAGCCGCCTATAAGTTGTGGCGCACCTATGAGTTAGACAGTCCGGATGAGGCTGCTTCACTGACTTGGACTCAGTTTTCAGATCTGTTCTTGAGAGAGTATGTTCCTCAGAGCCTCAGGTATACATGGCACGCAGAGTTTGAGCATTTGCGCTAGGGTGCTATGACTGTCTCAGAGTATGCTGTCCATTACACTAGTTTGGCTAGGCATACACCAGCTTTGGTTTCTACTGTTCGCGAGAGGGTTTGCCGGTTTATTAAGGGCCTAATTCCTAGTATCAGGTCTAGCACGGCTCGTGAGTTGGAGATGGATATTTCTTATCAGCAAGTGGTAAGCATTGCTAGGAGGATTGAGGGTATGCATGCTAGGGTGAGAAAGGAGAGGGAGGCCAAGAGGTCTCGAGAGTCGGGCCATTTCTCTGGTGCTCGTGCCCCAACAGCAGGTCGTCATGGTAGGGGTTATATGAGTTACCCTATCCATTCAGCTCTTCTAGCATCCAGTGGTATTCCAGCTCCTCCTAGACCTCAGGAACCTTATTATGCACCTCTGGTATCTAGCGTGCCTTCTGCACGGGGTGCTTTCAGATGTCAGTCCAGTAGACCTGACCCGAGCCAGTCACAGCCACCACGCCCTCCCAGAGCTTGTTTTGAGTATGGTGACACACGCCATGTGGTGAGGGATTACCCTAGACTTGGGAGGAGTGCACCTCCACAGACTTCTCAGCCACAGCGTGTCGCGCAGAGTTCTCAGGCTATGGTTACAGCTCCAGTTGCTACCTTACCTGCTCAGCTAGCCAAAGGTGGAGGTCGGGGAGGTAGAGGTCGCCTTAGAGGGGGAGGCCAGGCCCGATACTATGCCTTTCCTGCCCGTACCGAGGTTGTTGCCTCCGATTATTTCATCACGGGTTCGACGTTATTTGGGTGATTGTGGATCGACTGTCCAAGTTCGCTCATTTCATTCCTGTGTGTACTACTTATTCTTCGGAACGGTTAGCGGAGATTTATATTTGGAAGATTGTTCGTCTACATGGTATTCTAGTGTCCATTATTTCAGATAGAGGTACTCAGTTCACATCACGATTCTGGAGGGCTATTCAGCATGAGTTGGGTACTCGGGTGGAGTTGAGTACAGCATTTCACCCGTAGACGGATGGACAGTCCGAGCGCACTATTCAGATTCTTGAGGATATGCTCCGTGCATGTGTGATTGAGTTTGGAGGGTCTTGGGATCAGTTCTTG